ATTTCAGACACAAATTTAGAAATTTTATAAACGTTGATACACTTTTGTTTTAATTTTATGTAATGTTCATAATTGAAAATTATTATTCTAAGTATATAAAATGAAAATTGTTTTTAAAGACTTTCAATAGTAATTTTTTAACTCATAAATTTAGAACATGAGCACTTTAATACATCGAGCTATCTTTTTTTTGTTTTTTCTTATATTCCTTTGTAATCCTCGATTACAAACATATAAACATACAGAATTGAACTTTATATATTAGATTCGAGAAAATTTAGGGGATATCACTCCCGGTTTATTTAATATGAAGAAGATGTTTCGATGGTTTTTTTTAGATTTTATTAGATCTAGATCTAAGATCTAGACTAGGTCCGAAATAAACCGCATAAAATTTAGGGTAGGTTTTTCAGAAAGCACTTTAGTGGTGCGGTGTGAATAATTAGAAGTAAAATTAATGTTGAAAATAATTCAGTGCGCAAATGTTTTACGCCACAGAAAAAATAGATCTAGACTAGACTATTTCCTTATCCTGGGATACCTGTGGGTTTCTTCTTCTTCTTTTTCGTTCTTAATTTTTAGTCTTGGCCTTATCTGCCAGAGGGTTTGAACTCGAGACTTTTTCGAATTTATCAACCATGAGTTTTTGCTGTCTCGACCACGCTTCTATCACAATTAAGGATACATGTCAACTGGTTATGCGCCAATGAGGCCATTGACTCCGATTTCAGCCTGCTTTTCTATTTGGATTTGCTTCTATAGTCTTTGTCCTACCAAGAACAAACTGCAAGGCAGCAGTAGTTTGATTTTGGAGTTGTCTTTCCTAGAAGAGCGGCTGTCCCCAGCTAACGAGCCTCATCTGCCCGAGGCAGAGGCGTAGCGACCCTTCCCGGCGCTCGGGGACAAACTTCGATTTGCACCCCCTCTCAAACTTTCGATTTTTAACTCCCCTCAAGCTTTCAATTTATTTTTCCAACCCATTTCGGCGCCTCCGCGTATGGTCGGCGCCCGGGGACATATGTCCTCCCCTCGCTACGCCTCTGCGGTGTAGTAAGAAATTACCAAGTGACATCCTATTCCTTTTAACAGTTAAGTTTAATAATAATTCATATATATATATATATATATATATATATATATATATATATATATATATATATATATATATATATATATATATATATATATATATATATGTATATATATATATATATATATATATATATATATATATATATATATATATATTACATCAAGTAATGTTAACAATCCAGATGACAGCTATTTTATTATTTTGTCAACTGTAACACATTACAATGAAATGGCTAGTCACTAATTAAATGATTTTAATAAAAAAAAACAGTTTGTGCTCGCTTAATTGTCATGCTTTCCAAAAATTATTGCATGCATACATTAAAATATTAAATGCATATATTTTGGTAAAATCTGTAGTAGCAAAAGCAATTCATTATACATTGTAAAAACATGCTGACAACTTCATTAAATTAAGAACATTATCAAGAAATGCATGCATATCATTAATGTGTAAATATAATTTTTGAATTCTTTTATACTGTGCAAGTTTCTCAGAAAATAATTGACTTTAAATGTATCATATTACGGTTTTTAATTTTAATATGAGCAAACATAAGAATCCTGAGTTGACTTAAGATGCATTAGACTAACTTAAGCTGTTCTTATTGTATAAAAACTAAAAGCAACTGTTTTTTTAATAAATTTACTTTTGAAAATGTTAGTTGAATATGTTAAAACAAATACATAAACTATGAAAAGCAAGCCTCAGTTACTTTTCAGCTTTAATTACTTAACTTATATTAAGACATTACAGAACTTTTTTAATAAGCAAAACTAAAATTTAACTGTTTCTTTTCGTTTGGTTGCGTTATGATATTTTTACTCAGAGGTAACGGAAATTACCGATATTAGTCTAGAATGACTAAAAAGTATGTTAAACTTAATACACAAAACATTTTCAAAATTATGATATTTAAGAGATCATGTCTATTTTAGAACACATTCATGTTGGCTTTTTCTATGGAGGTAATTCATTATTTTGTATTTAAAATATCCAAAACATGTTTGACTTTAATATTTTTATTGAGATGATAATTATTAACTTTAACATCACACTTAAACAGCTTAAGTTTTAAGTAGCTAAGGTGATTGTAATGACTACTACAGGGTAAATACCACACTGCTATGGTCTAATAGAGGGAAAATATAAACGTTTTAAATATATAGTCATGTTCAAAGCAAAAGTAAGAATACTAAGGTATATGTACAGTATTTTAACTTAATTTTTAACGAACATTTTATTGTTTACGATAGCATACATAAATTTTAAACCTAGTGACCTACAAGCAAAATGACATAAAAATCGATAGTTCAGTTGATTTATATATATATATATATATATATATATATATATATATATATATATATATATATATATATATATATATATATATATATGTATACTAGCCGTCCTGGCCAGGCCCTGCTCTGGCTTCTGTGAAAAACTTTTCTGTTAAAGACCATTACCTGTGTGTTTAGTAATCATCATAAACCCGGCATTGCCCACCCAAACCACAACCAACCAAAACCAACAACAAAACGCAAACATAACGCTAACACAATTACAAATACAAACGAAAACAAAAAGCTTAAAACAAACCCAACCACAACCACAAACACCAATACAATCAGAAAGAAAAAAAAAAGCAAACGAAAACAAAAACCCAACAACAAACCCAACCACAACCACTAACACCAATACGAACACAAAGAAAAAAATACAAACAAAAAAGCAAACGAAAACAAACCAAATCCAAACGCAAAACCAACCACAAACACAAATACAAACACAAACCCAAAGAAAAAAACACAAACAAAAACGAAAAAAGAAAGAACAAAAACGAACCAAATCAAAACGCAACCACTAACGCAAACCCAACCTAAACACAAAGAAAACACAAACGCGCACATAAACGCAAAATGCTCACAGTCTAGCCCGGGGCAAAATCGCCTGTTTCAGTTTAATAAACGACTATAGTACCCCAACTTATTCATAGTCTTGTGCACTCACTTAAATGAACGTAGGAGCCAAACCAAACCAAATGAACATTTATAATACTCCAAGCTTATCCGTAAAATACCTACAACTACTCCAAGCTTATCCGTAAAATACCTACAACATTTGCACTTGATCAATCCCCGCTAATTATGTAATTATTTTTTTCCCAACACAAAACAAAGTAATAAAAAGTAAATTCTTTTCCACTAATGCAGGGGTTCCCAACCCCGTACCCGCGGGCGCCATGGCGCCCGCCGAAGGATTTGTATGTGCCCGCCTCTCACTATTCGACATAGACAGAATTTATTTCATAACATTATTGAAAGGTTGAAGGGGATGGAAATCGAAAGTTTGAGGGGAGGGGGGTGCACATCGAAAATTTGAGATTTGAGGGGGGTGCAAATCGAAAATTTGAGATTTGAGGGGGGTGCAAATCGAAAGTTTGAGGGGAGGGGGGGGGTGCAAATCGAAAGTTTTGTCCCCGGGTGACGGGAAGGGTCGCTACGCCTATGGAAGGAGTTTGTCGATTTAAAACAGGTGGTGCCCGCCACCCTACCGATATTTTAGAATGTGCTCTAGAGTAAAAAAAGGTTGGGAACCCCTGCACTAATGCAATGTTTTATAAAGGGAAGTAATTGTGTTTTCCTAATTTATCTAAGGGAAGTAAGTGCTAAAGGACTAAATATAAATAATTTTCAGACATAATTAGAATTTTTGTAAAAGATGATATTTTTTTTTAAATTGTGTTTAATGAACATGCCGACAATTACTACTATCAGTTTGAAAAATGAAAATTATTTCCCAACACTTTCAATAGTAATTTTTTAACTCATAAATTTAGACTATGAGCACGATAAAAATCTAACACTTAAATTCATTGAACTATGTCCACGACAAACAAACTTATTACATGTTATATACAGAATTGAGCTTTATATTTTAGATATATATATATATATATATATATATATATATATATATATATATATATATATATATATATATATATATATACCTATATATAATCTAGAAAGTACTTTTTTAATACATTAGAATATGAAAAGGTTAGCGAAACTCTTTTTTTAATGAATACATCCCTTTAAAACAAAAAGTGGTAATTTAATAAATGATATAAATGTAAAGTTTTCATTAATCACTTGAAAAAATAAACCGGGAGTGATCTTCCCAAAACTTTCTCAAATATTCTTATTTAAAATAACAGGGGATGGGAACTCGGGCTATAGACATGATTTTTAATCCATTTTAAATACTTAATTTTTTTAAAATAGAATAAAATCTCGTAGACAAAAGAATTGCACACCGAGGGAACGCCAAATAAAAAAAGTGCATAATAGTGCGCAATATTATTAGCACTTTAAAAATTTACATTAGTTTTTTGAGAAATCGGAAGTAGCGTAAATTACTACTTCCGGTCAACGGAAATTACTCAAAATTTCACAGATTGTAGAGAATTGGAACTTTTACTTACATAAGAAATTTCATTTGTCTATCTGAAAAAGTACTCAAGTTATAGGCTTTTGAAAAATTCAAAGTAGGAAAAGTACCACTTCCGATTATCGGAAATCGCTCAAAAGTTTCTACGGATCTACGATTTTGATAAAATACTTATATATGAAATTTCATCAACCTAGCTGTAACGGTACTCAAGAAATCGTGTTTACACACGGACAGACAGACACACACACAGACACACAAACATACGGACAAGATTGCAACATTATGTTTTTCCGTATCAGTGAGGTGTAAAACGTCGAGATTTGTAAAAATCTCGGTGTTTTTTTTTGCACGATTACAATACTTTCTCTATACTTCGTATATACGAGAAAGTAAAAACGTGTAGGCCTATATGCTAAATATCTATACAACTAATACATTGTATTATAAGATGGCGATCAGGAACCGACCAACTGGAAACTTGGTGAACTAATAGCCAAAAGTACCAACGCGAAGGTTTTTAGAGTCGTAGACGTCCAAAATCTTCTTGGTAAAAGTTGTGCTGTCAAGCAGCTGTGTTTTTCAAACGATGTGGATGACGACGATCAGGTTAGGACGGCCATTGTTCTCTCTCTTTTAATTATTGTAAGGTTGGTATTCAGAGCTACGCGGATTTCATGATGAATATTTTTAAAAAAATTTTTTATTAAAAAATAAAATTAAACCTTTTTAATTTTATGTATTTTGTTTTTCAAAAAAATCAACGGGGAGAATGAAAAAAAATATTTTCAGTTTGAGAGGAGCAGTGTGGTCAGCAAAATTTCTGGCTCCCTTTATTTTGGCGTCGATTCAGGTACGTCACACATACTGGAGCCCGGGATTCGAACACGAGTCTTTCGGTTTAGCAGACGAGCGGTTTACCGTCCTATAGCGCCGTCCCAATTTTGGTGTATTAGAAAAACCATAAGGTACTCGTTACAGTCATCAGAAGAAAAATAAAATACATGATTAAAAAATGTTAATCATTGCAAAATATAATACATGTTTTAATGATGCCATTTAATATTATTATTGTAATGAAATGGAAACTGTTTATATTTTTTTTTAAAGTCAGCTTATGTGGAAATAGAGACAATGAGTAAAGTCAGTCATCACCGAATACTTGATTTTTATGGATACAGTAAAACTGCGCACGTTCTGTCAATATTTTTTGCTTTTATTGAGAAGGTAAATATTTTCTACATAAATACTTTCTCTATATGCGACATAAATACTTTCTCAATCGCTCCTCCTTCTCTCACTCTCTCTCTCTCTCTCTCGCTGTATATATATATATATATATATATATATATATATATATATATATATATATATATGTATCTGTGCTTTTGTATGTATAATGGTACCTCAAGATAAAAATTTAATTCATCCCGAAACCTTGCACTATCGCCATATTGCTACTATTACAAGATAACTTCCCATTGTAATTTATTGAAATTCCATTACACCGTTCCAGCCATAAAAAATACCACCCCAGAAGTTTTAATGACATGTATTTACGTGTATTTACGTGTATTTAATGTTTGATATAAACCGACTTGAGGTTAAGTAAGTTTTTGTGGAGGTAAACGTTGGAATGGATAGGTGTGTTAGCATCATTCCGTAAAATTATTGCTTAATCCTCAATTTTTTTTCATTAATTCACCAACTCTTTCAACTTGTAAAATTAATGCTAATCTTTTTCCCCAGACTTAACGGTACTATATTTCACTAAAAATAATTTAGTGCTTCTGTACATAGAGTTGTTACAATTCCTTATTTTTTGTCGCTGTTTTTATCTACGCAAATGTATGACATTTTAGCCTCGCTTTTCTCATATTTATTACCAGGGTACATTAGCAACGTACATCAAGACTCAAGAAGAACGACATCTTACAGAGAGAAAAACTTCTCAGTTTACATTCCAGATCCTTGAAGGCCTTGAATATCTACATCAAAAGAGAATTATACACAGAGATATAAAAGGTAAAAGGATAAGAGAACAAGCTTACGAGATGAAATTCTTCAAATACATTAATAAACTGAAATAAGTAAATTATTAAAATGTTATTACATAATGTTTAATAAATGTTATTTTGAGCTATTTTGTATTAGGTATCAAGCGAAATCGTTATATATTTATAAGGGGTTATTAATAAAGTTATACAAATATTTTGTCAGTTTGCCAGGCGCATGTTTTTATTTACAGATGTTAGAGATGGTTGCATCTTGTTTAGCTTCTACCACGAATATTTTAAAATTGTATTTTTTTTCGATTTTATTTTGAATTTTATAGGCTCGAATATCCTAATGCAAGATGACGACAACATAAAAATATCAGATTTCGGTGTCGCGAAAATTCTTCAAACACTTTCACGCGCTAATACTAAAGGAACGGGAACAGTTAACTGGATGGCACCGGAAGTGATGAGTGGTGGCTCTTATGACAACAAAGTTGATATTTGGTAACAACGGCAAATGTATATATCACAACACAATGCTTCTGTTGTAAATAATATTGTTTTAAAATTCGATTACATAATAGAATCTTGTTTGTTTTTTTACAACAGGAGTCTTGGATGCACAGTTTATCAAATGTTTACTGGCAAAGTTCCGTTCAATGAAGTAGAAGATCACACAATTATATTGAAAATGCACAACAAAGCTTTAGTATTGATTCCACCAGATAATTGTTCAAAACATCTACGAAAATTTCTGAACAGCACTTGCGAAATAGACCCGTCCAGAAGGCCCAGTGCAACGGAATTACTGGAACATAGTTTTTCAACACGTAATATAATTAACTGAATTGTTCAAAATGTAGACACTGTATTTTGTATACTCGAAGATATATTGCTTACACTATATATAACTAAAGAAATGTATATATATATATATATATATATATATATATATATATATATATATATATATATATATATATATATATATATATATATATATATCAGTTTTCCAAGGCTGTAATGTAATTAACGATAGTGATACTGACGATGAGGAACTGAAAATTCAATTATCTCCAGAAGAGGCAGGTAAGTATTTTATCCTTTACAAATAAACCGTTTATAGAAGAATAGGTCATGTCTTGTTTTGAATTCGGTTTATTTTTATTACACATTTTAAATCTATCTCTCCATTTATCTTTTAATTGTGTATAAAGAGTATTCTTTCAAAGTGTTTAAATATTGTGGTAAAATATTACTGTGGTAAAATATTATTCTTTTATCTTGACTAAAGTTAAAGACCTCTTTTTTCAGAACGTCTCTTAAAAGGGGTAGCTGTACAATTGCAACGAAATGCCATTTTCGGAGCTGATGTGCGATTAAATGATATGTACCCGGAATTATCTGCTGTACCCAAGCCCAGTAATAACTTGTTCGCTTCCCCCTCTCTGTTGGATACAACAATGATTACAAATGACGTGTCCAATATGCCATTTTCGTCTACAACAACGGTTTGTATTCATTAGAGCCCACATTTAGGCTTAGAAATAGTTTGAGAAATAATAATCTTTAAATCACCTACAATGCGAAATGAGAAAATTTCGAATTTCTAATCTATGTAAATAAAGGTATAACAATTGTAATCATTAGTTAGTACTACGTGGGTTTTTAACGTTCTAATTTGTTAATGTGTTCTTTTAGGTGAATGAAAACAACAGCTCGTCAGACACAAAGAAAAATATATTAGTCAGAGAGGAACATACCAGCCGCTACGCATCTGTCGTTCGTGATAACTGGGAAAAAGTTTTTGAAAACTTGAATTTTACCCCAGAAGAGATCGTGGAGGAATATGAAATTTGCTCCAATGACGTGAACCAAACAATGAACACGCTTTTATTAAAGTGGATAGAACGAGAGGGCGATGAAGCGACACATGCAAACTTGCAAGAAGCGCTGGCGGTCACAGAAGAGGAATATCCAAATACAATGGATTTTATGCAGTTTGCTAGATTGACGGATTTGACGAAGGCGGGAAACTAGAACGTAATATAAAAAAAAAATAATACATGTTAAATGTAACATAAAACTATGTAAGAGTCAGGTGCACTGCTATTAGGTAAACCTTTAGGAATACATTTTATTAATGAAAACCCGGTATTACTAGACACGTATTTACTAATAAAATTAAAACTAAGTACCAGACAGTATTATTAAACCTTGTTTTAACGACATTTGTCGGTATTCGTATTTTTAAGTAGTTAAAAAGTGCCTTATATATTAAATTAGCAAATTATTCCGATTAGCGTTAATATGATTGTATTACTATAAAGTTTTTAAAGAGTTAAAGTTTAGTTTATTTAATATTTTTTTGTGTTCCTATCGCATCGTTTTTTTTCACACCTACCACTCTTTAAAAAATGAATAATCTTTAGTGAACCTTTAATACGATCTGTCTGTTAAATTTACATATTTTCACCGACGACTTTGGCTTAAGGGGTCATCCATAAATGACGTCACCCTTTTTTGGATGATTTTTAACTCCCCTCCGTCACACGTCGTCACAAAAGCCAGACCCCCCCCTGAAATGACGTCACACCTCAGCCTACAACCCCCCCCCCTCAAAATAGCTGTTAAATTTTTCTTGAAACATCGATATTTTTCTAAAATCTTGTCAGAATTCTGTTAACATAATATTTTGATCAATTCCTATTACAATTTATTAAAACCGTTTTCTAAGACGCGAAATAACGGCTAAAACACATTTTCGAACATTAGTTTTTTATAATGCAAAAAAGTGACGTCACACAATCTGAACCCTAACCCCCTCATCCTCATCACACACCGTCACAAAATTACGGACCCCCCTCCCCCCTACGAGTGTGAAGTCATTTATAGACGACCCCATAAGTCAGTTAATATTGAAAGCAAAGACAACTAAAATATAAGACAAACTACCTCAACAGATTTCGAGATTTTATAACATGTGTAACACATATGGTTACCAAAATATTAAAGCCTAAATGTACTTCTGTTCAATATTTTTCGAATGCCATTATTTTACTTGAGATAATAAAATTACACATCAGAATCACACTGAGCCGTTTTAATTGATTTTTAGTTCTCAACCTATATTTTCATAGTTGATGAAAGGGAATTTCCGATATTACTGTAACAAATGCCAATGGAATGCGAGAAAATCGTCTATACATTAACTGAATTTTAATGATAATGTCCACTTTAGAAACATCGTATGTTGGGGTTTTCTATGGAGGTAATTTATTTATTTTTAAATTATGAGCAAAAATAATTATCCTTTTGAGATGGTCATTGTGAAGCAATCAAACTCATCAAATAACCGATAACAAATCTTACTCACCATCATGGATACGTATTAACGATTATTGGCATGTAGAATGTAGGACGGTCTATGACTTCTTTAGTCTAATACTTCTTACCATCGCACCATATCAAATTTCGTGTAATTTATTTAGGCAAAAATTAATTCTGAAAGCTGTATTTCCAATAAATTTATATTTAAAAAATATAACAACAGTGTGGTTGGATGGTAGAGTGCATGATGGCTAATTCGAAAGTCTAGAGCTTGGAGCTCGAATCCTGGGTCCATTACGTAGAGTGCCTTTGTGTCTAGCCTGCTCATGACTGACTTACGTTACGGAATGTTCAGGTTCAAAAGGGTAGCTTAGTTTTTAATAAAAATAACTTTGGACATTTTGTCCTTCATGTAAATTATACAAAGGTGAATAAGTAATAGGTTTGTTATGTCATAAACGTCATCACTTTACGTTCATGAAAAGAAACACGGGGCAGTTGAAGTAGAGTTTATCTGCTTTAGAGACCTCGGCATATGAAGGGAAAGTGTGATCAACACTATGCCTTTTTACCCTAATGCAAGTTAGGACTCAAGATTCTAAATTCCAGACTCTCATTTTAGCAATCTAGCTCTCTACCGCTAGGCCACGGCGTCCCAGGTGGTTTGGAATGTAGTGGTCTTAAATTGTAACAAGTTTTTACGACATTGGGCAGAAAACGAGAAATAAAGAAATCAAATATTTCACTACACAATTCTAAAGACGCAATAATCATACATATGAGCTTAGGTTCCATACAGTAGGCTATCCATTGAATGAACTGCCCTTCATGTCCGAACCAGATGATGCGATGCACTGGGTTAGAAAGCAAAAGCTTGATGGAAACCAACTGGTCTAACGGTCGAGAGAGAGAACAAGTAGAATAAAATTGCACTTCAAAAATTATTGTCAATCTTATGGGTTTTATTTGTTTTTGCGAACTTTACACATCAAAGAAGTAGTAAGCAATATACAAAACCCGTCTTTACTTTCTCAGTAACACGTGCTGTATCTGTCGAATCTGAATAGATTCAAGTTTATTAAATCAAATTCAAAACTTATTTCTCTTCTTTGTTCTTAATTTTAGTGTTGAAAGGGATTCCCTTCATCACAATTAATGATATGTGTTATGTGCTATTTAGGCCATTAACTCCGATTTCAGTTTTCTTTTCATTTTGGATCTGCTTCCATAGCCTTTGACCACCAAAAACAAACCACAAGGCAGCAGTTGTTTGATTTTGAGGTAGTCTCTCCTAGATGAACGGCTGTCCACGGCTATCAAGTCTCGTCTACCTGGGGGTTTGAACTCAAGACTTATTAAAACAAATTTTCATATATTTATTATGTGCTCAATGCCTCGACCACGCCTTTCCCTAATTATAACCACGAAAAAATGCGTGTATCTGCAGACGGTGAGCAAGAGCCGACCAACTGGAAACGTGGCCAGAGGATAGCAAGGAGTGGCAGCACAGTGGTGCACCAGGTCGTAGATGACCAGAAACTGCTCGATACACAGTGTGCCGTCAAACAGCTGTGTTTGTCTGATGACATCAACGACGATGATACTGCAAGTGTAATACTTTTCTTTTTACTTTCTCGTATATACAAAGTATAATAAAGTCTTGTAATCGTGCAAAAAAAAACATATCAAGTTTTTTTTGCAAATCTCGACGTTTTACACCTCCCTGAGTCGGAAAACATAGTTTTGCAATCTTGTCCGTACGTCTGTGTGTGTATGTGTGTCTGTGTGTGTGTAAACACGATAACTTCAGTACCGTTACAGCTAGGTTGAAGAAATTTCATATAAGTATTTTATCAAAATCGTAGATCCGTATCAATTTTTGAGCGATTTCCGATAACCGGAAGTGGTACTTTTTTTCTTTGAATTTTTCAAAAGCCTATAACTTGAGTACTATTTCAGATAGATAGATGAAATTTCACATGTAAGTAAAAGATCTAATTCTCTACCTTCTGTCAAATTTTTTGTGTTTTTGGTTGACTGGAAGTAGTAATTTACTCTATTTTCGAGTTCTCAAAAAACTAAGGTAAATTTATAAAGTACTAACAATATTGCGCACTATTATGCACATTGTATTAGGCGTTCACTTGGTGTGCAATTCTTTTTCCACGAGATTTTATTCTATTTTAAAAAGTTTAAGTATTTAAAATAGATAAAAAAATCATGTCTATATTCCGAGTTCCCATCCCTTGTTGTTTAATATAAGAATATTCGAGAAAGTTTAGGGGAGATCACTACCGGTTTTATTTTTTAAATTTTCTTTATAATGAGGGTATTGATAACGAAAACAATTTAATAATACAAGTAGTATTTTGTTTTCCAAAATGGGTTAACGAATAGTAAGAAATAGTAGTTTACCAAATAATTTAAACATTCCGTATTGTAAGCTTTAAATGCTATATATGTATATAAATAAATAAATAAATTATAAATAAATTATATATATATATATATATATATATATATATAATATTATATAAATGTATAATTTCCTTTGCACGTTTATAAATACTCTATATTCTATTTTGTTTCACTACAGTCGATCCCAGATGAAATAAACGCATTAAGTAAAGCCAAACATCACAGAATACTTGAGTACTTTGGATACAGTAGGGCTGCTAATGTCGTATCGATATTTACTGCTTATATTGAAAAGGTAGCGAGAACACCATGTAGAATACTGATATTCGACATTGCATCACTTATATATATATATATATATATATATATATATATATATATATATATATATATATATATATATATATATATATGTTTGTAGGGTTCATTGGCTAAATACATAAAGACTCAAAAAGACCGCCACCTCACTGAAAAGCAAACTTCTAAGTTCACATTTCAAATACTTGAAGGACTTGAATATCTACATGAACAGAGAATAATACACAGAGACATCAAAGGTAAAGCTAAGGTCTGGCCCTACCTCAGTAGCCATGTTTCTGTATTTGGTTAACAAAAAGGTCGTATTAAAAACACATCGATCTTTGTATTTAGATAAAAAAGAATATAAGGACATTTTTTTATGAACTTGAAACTAATTTAAAAATATATTCACCAAAAAAACATTTACTTTTTTTAAAATAAATGACATAAAAAATAATATCTGCCCAAATGTACTATTAATACTATACACGAATTTATAAGTTAAGCTTACAATGGCTATAACTTTTTTTTTGGTTTTACGCTAAGTATACATTTCTTTTACTCCGAGTTTTCCAAGATAATTTTGTTTCTCTTACTTGAAAGGATCAAACATTTTAATGCAAGATGAAGACAACATAAAAATATCAGATTTTGGTGTAGCAAAAATCCTCAACACACTTTCACGTGCAACTACCAAAGGGAAAGGAACATTCAACTGGATGGCTCCTGAAGCCATTCGGCTTAAGCCACACAACAATAAAGTTGATATTTGGTAATAATATATATATATATATATATATATATATATATATATACATATGTGTGTGTGTGTGTGTGTGTGTTATACATGTAAAGTACATGTATGTGTGTTTATCAAACAAATGTAATAGCATTCAAATTAGAACGAGTAGAGAGGTTGGAAAGCAAGCGTTGTTTCTGAAATAGCAATGTAAACAGAATTTGGTGCCGCGTGAATTGGTAGGTTCAAATCCCGTTGGGTTTAAAATTTTCTTTCTTTACTTGGACTATATCCTGTACCTTTGTCTACCCTTCGCATTCAACTTAGAAGATAATTCATGTATGATTTCTATTTTCAGGAGTCTGGGGTGCACGGTGTATCAAATGTTTGTTGGGAAAATTCCTTTCCACGAAGAGGAGGATTACTCAATTACATTAAAAGCGATTAAAAACGAATTAGCTTTGACGCCACCAGAACATTGTTCTAAACATCTACGAAGATTTCTGAAGCGTACATGCGATAAAGACCCTTCTAAAAGACCAAGTGCAACGGAATTACTGAAGCATAGTTTTTCAAAAGGTAATGTAACACTAATCATCATTTCAAATTAAAATCACATTAATCTCTATCTCTCTCTCTCTATCTATCTCTCTCTCTCTATCTCTCTCTCTCTCTCTCTCTCTCTCTCTCTCTCTATATATATATATATATATATATATATATATATGAATATATAAGATTTTAAAATCACTTAATGAACGCTTAGTTAATAAGAACTCCGTTTTAAATATATAAATTTTATGGATGCCATTTTAAAAATTACACTTTAGTTTTTCAAAGCTGCAACGTCACTAATGAAGATGACACCGATTCTTCTGAAGATGAACAATCAAGTTCTGTTGAGTTTGCAAAAGGTATTTAAAAAGATATTACTATAATCCAGTCACTTTTGTATAGACACTTTTCCTTGTGTCCAAGTTCAATTTGATTGGAAGAACAACGAGTAATTAAAAACATTTTTTTCAAAAAGAGTTATACTTTTTGATAATTTTAAGAAAAAAAAACGGCATTTTGAAATTTCGTAATATCCTTTCTTTACACATGAGAAAAACAGAATAAAAATTGATTATTGAAAATGAAATCAAAGGTTAGGTTATAATTAAATGCGTTAGTTATTAATTTCTTTAAAAAGAATTAAGTCTAATGGCTTACTTAACTGCAAAGTTATGTGTCTGCGCATTGTGTATATATATATATATATATATATATATATATATATATATATATATATATATATATATATATATATATATATATGTGTGTGTGTGTGTATATATATATATATGTGTATATATATATATATATATATATATATATATATATATATATATATATATATATATATATATATATATATATATATATATATATATATATATATATATATATATATACAGTACTTAATAATTCCAGAACCTAAACTTTCTTTTCCTGAACAACTTGCTCGAGCCCAACAGACGATTAATCTAGGCGTGCCAATAACCAATTGGCCAGCAATGGTCTGTATTATTTTAATTCACTACCTTTTTACAGCGCATGATATATTCATAGTTTTATCACTACGATCTTCATCGAGTCTATTCTTTAATATTATAAATTGTGGCAGTTGTGAAGTTGCGTCAACTTCAAATTTCAGTGTGTTTATTTAAACAAAAAAAAAATTACTTATTAACTGATCAAAACATTAATATTATAAATCATACATTAAATTATAATTTCTGTTGCATGTCAATTTAAATAACAATAATGAATATAATATTTGTGTTTCTGAACAAAATATGAAATGATCGTAATTTATTTTTAGTTTCAGGGAGGGACCAGTCACATTGACAATGACAGATATTTAAGCAGTAAAATCCCCGAATACTATGCCATTCAGTATGCAGCAACGATCAGTGAAAACTGGGAGCATCTTTTCCTTCAATTAGATTTCACCCCAGAGGAGACTGCGCAGGAACTGAGTGATTGTTCAAATGACGTCAAACAAACAATCACCAATCTCCTCGTCAAGTGGGTGAGTCGCGAGGGCGAAAAAGCGACACATAAAAACCTAGAGGCTGCAATGAAGAAAGCGGAGGAATCGAATCAACTTAAAGTCGATTGGGGCGAATTTTTATACATACTTCTTGATTTTAAGGACAATAATAAGAAAGAATTTAATGCTAAATTTAATGCGTTTGTTTCAGGGATGTAATCCAAGTATGAAAACAATAAGGAGTTTTTTTTTTACCAGACTCATTACCTCTTTTTGCAGCTTTACTGTATTAAATATAAGCACTTTTGCCACGTTGTTGCATTAAGCTTCAAATAGCTAAATTCTAAAATAATTGGATATTATTCTGAGATACACTAACATTTTTTTGTAACTGCATTTTTTTACTTATAAAATTTGTGTGTATGAAAAAAAATTTGAAATTCGTGAAAAACGTTTTGTCAAACATTTGATTATATAAATTGTTGTATGTTTTATTAGCACGCTTGTTTTTAATTCAATATTGACTGTAGTAGTTAGACACTAGCTAATTATCTAAATAACATTATAATTAATGTAATCCTTTACTACTGAGTAGCTCAGACCTGTACAACTTATTAACCAAAATCCTTGGATCAAAACACTTACCATACACCTTTGTTCATCCTCATCAATGAAACATTTTTCCTTACGCATGAAGTCAATAATGAACATATAGAAAGTCCTCGAAAATGTCTCAACTTTAAAAACGGACACATTATCTCGAATTAGTTAAATGAGAGTCTTCACCAGTCAAGTGCTTAATCGTAATTGCAACATTTTAGCCTACTTGAAGGAAAAAGAAATTGACCAGAAAAGCTAACAACTAGATAGGACCTTCTATTTAGTATAAATAAGAAGAGCTTTGCAAACAATTCAAAAACCTATAGAAAATATCATTCTGATAGTAACTAAATCATTATTTATGCTTTTAGGACAGCTACTGTCGTCTATTAAAAATTGCAAATTATCATTTTCTTCTCGATAATCATTTAATATAATGGGGTCGAAATTTGACAGTGTGTTTCTTTTGTTGCAATTACATATTGACAGGCTTATATAATGAACCACTATTAGTTTTGATTGATTAGAACACAAATACATTTTCTTTTTTTAATGTGAAGATGAATTCATTTTTTCTAGTCAGTTTGAAATGTTAAATCTTTTTTCAATTAAAATTTTAAAAATATTATGATTGGATCATTGTCTGTTACATTTTTTTTCATTTTATACCTCACACAAAACCCTTCTCCCCCACGTCAAATTTATGCTAAAGTAATAGTGCAGGCATGGCTAGTTAATAAAGTTACCTTATGCGAAATCTTTTTGGATCGCAATACAAGTAACACATTTTGTTTACGTTTCTGATAGTAGAGCAGTCTTTGACGACATGACATATGCACTTGCTGCGCTTAACATGTACGGGTAACGTCTCGGCCTTAGGTACATCAGATGAACAGACAGAAAGGACTTATACCATGAGCAACACCTGGCTAAGCCTGAACTCCTCATTTCCAGGGTGCAATTGTACTATCGTCTATCAGACTACGGAGCCATTTATTTATTTATAAAACATCGGTTTTATTCTTGAACGAAACGTTGAACACTCCTTTGTAATAAAGTAAATACATTTTTTTAAAGCATACTTTCATTTAAATATTTTGTGATACTAGTTTGATATGGATGAATCATATATAACTTTTTATAATATCCTGATATCATTAGTTGGTATTGTGTCTTCACAAAATACCTGTGTATTCTGATAATTCAGAACTGAATTTTAAATTTATTTTCATCGAATAAACGCAAAAGCTGGATTAATAGAAAAGTTTGCACTTTTAAAAAAGTGATATTAGAAGTACACAATAGTGAATGATAACGAAAATTCGTGACTTAAATGGTTATAGAGACAAGGATGTGTTATTGATTGCCTATGTGTCAAAATGGAAAAAAATATTTATAGTTATAGGTGGGAAATTGAAATATTTTAAATCTTCAGTCGACTATTCAACTAAACCGATTTTTGCGATTTTGCATATGAATCTAGGGGGGGGGGGGTCGGGGTCGGTACTTCCAAAAAAGGTTCAGAACCACTTGTTTAGTTCTTGTTCGTGAAGTTGGCAATAGCAAGGAAATTTTACGACAAAGAGGATTACTACTGGAAATCCCCGATCTTATTTCACAGGAAATGATTTTAACTGTGTAGAGATGTCTTCTTGACGTTAGCCAAAAGCTTTTTAGTTAGAATTATGATTTACATTGTAGTCCTACATAGCAATATATAACGATTTATGTTAGGTATTCAAACAAAACATTTGTCTAATAATGTTTTTTGTTTGATTATTATTGATGTTGTTGTACTAGTACTCGTGGTGCAAACAGTTGGGTTTCTTTAGCTGCACGAACCCTAGATTAGATAGACACTGGAGAATACATTCATGTATATTGTATAGAGAATGTTTTCTAAAGGATCATATGATGGATTTTTTATTGGAGGTAATAGTAACGTAATGTTCCTATTATATAAGCGGTATTTACACATTTATTTACAAGCATTTTCTGTGCTTGATGTCAGTGTCTCGCTTGTTTCATGTATAAAAACCTGTGTTGTTTTATTGTAATAAAAGTACGATTACCTGTGATAAAGCTTTGATTCTGCATTGAGGATATTTTTTTTTTGTTGAGTGCTTGTTGTATCGTGTTAATAGTGACTTATTTAGGTTTTCTGTACTTAATTGTACTTAATGATAACTACTGTTTTATACTATCCGCGAAGTGTAAAGTGTATTAACTACCTATGACCTATACAGATGGCGAACAAAGGACTAGCAATTGGAAACTGGGTGCCAAAATAGCTCCAGGTAAATACAGGTACGTCTACCACGTTAACGACTTAAACAACAGACAGACCAGAGAAATTGCTGTCAAACAAGCCATTATATCTGATGACGTGAACACAGACTCTTTGGTAAGGATTATTTTAAGCAACAATGTAAAGTTAAAAATAATTTTAAAAAATTAAAAAAAAAAAATTTCAGTTATAAAAATTAAATTCTATCATTTCATTCGAAAGTTTAAAATGTATAATAGGTAGATGTATTCCCTCTTATCGTTTACCTCTTGTCAAATATTATACCACAAAAAAAAATATTTCAAAAAAAAAAAAATCTCTTTATTTCTGGAATCAAAACTATATATTATATGGCCTGTTTTGTTAACTCGACTTATTTTTAAATAAATAATTGTTAAAACTATTTATATTTATAAAAGAAAAAAGAAATGTATTATTGTAAACATCTTTAAATGAAATATTTTTTTTTTAAATTTCGAGTTAATTTTGGAACAATAGTTTTAAAACAATTTGTGGGTCAATACTCAATATATTTTTCTTTTCATCTGATAGAAAGAAATTGATAAGGAAATGGAAGCACTTAAGAGAGTAAAGCACAAAAGAATCGTCACTTATTACGGCTACAGCAGAACTGAAAGAGTTTTCTCTCTGTTTATTGCTTACATGGAAATGGTATTTATCTACATACTATTTTCATAAGCTCCCAAAGCGTGCACACAATGTTTTAATAGTCCATTGAACATTTTGAAACAATTTGCAATAGAATTTAAGTTTAAGTTTTACGTTAAAATACTTTAGAATAGTAAAAGTTACATGTCGTTTTTTTTCATTATTTTTTTGTGCAAGGGTTCCCTATCAAAATATACGTCTGCCCAGACAAACGGACACCTGACCGAAGAACAAACTGCAAAGTTCACGTACCAGATACTTGAGGGTCTTCATTATCTTCATTCTAACAAAATCATTCATAGGAATATTAAAGGTAATGTATGCATTATACTTTAAACTGTAAAAGATACTTGCAATGCTGACCTTAAATCTTGAGTTGTAGACATAATAAATGTAGGCCTAGATCTATATGCAATCTTATTACTTTTTTTTTATAAAAGCCTTTTGTGTATAATTCTTTTAATTTTAAACTATATTTTTCGGTAGAAATTTCTATTCTATACGTTTAAGTTTGTGTATTTTCTTCTTGGCTATCGTAGTTTAAATTTAATTATCGAAAATCTAACAAAATGTAGAACAATCTCAATATATCTTTTTACTATTCTTTCCGTTTTGAACTAGATCTACATTGTTTTTGTCAGGTTCAAACATTCTCTTGAAGGATGAAAACAATATAAAAATCTCAGACTTTGGTGTAGCTAAAATCCTCAACACACTGTCACGTGCAAGCACGCAAGGAAAGGGAACTGTCAGTTGGATGGCGCCTGAAATGTTCCAGGAAGTCTCACATGACTACAAAGTTGATATTTGGTACTACCTAGTTTTAAGCATAATATATAGGAATATATTATATTTTTTAAAAATAAAAATTATACACATGCCTATATATATATATATATATATATATATATATATATATATATATATATATATATATATATATATATATATAGCTTTAAGTTTTCTTGATTCACATGATGTATTTTTCAGGAGTTTAGGTTGTACAGTTTTTCAAATGATAACTGGAAAGATTCCTTTTAGTGAGATGAGTGTAAAAACTGTTATTATAAAGGGATCTAATAATCAGCTAGAGTTATCTATTGCTGAAAACTGTTCCTTAACTCTACAAGACTTTCTGAGACAAGCATGTGAAAAAGATCCATGCAAAAGAGCAAGTGCAAGTTCATTAATGGAACACAGTTTTCTTAAAGGTGAGTCTTTGTAAAAAACAGATATAATAGAACAGTTGTTTTTTTTTTTCAGATATAAATCTAAGCATAAGCAAATAATAAAGAAATTTAATTAAAAAAAAGTGTTTTATATATTTATTTTCCAACCAAATAAATATAACTGAGTAAGATATGCTGATTTATGTTTCACATTTAATATATATATATATAAATATATATATATATTTATATATATATATATATTTTCTTTTTAGAGTATTTTAATAAACCGACCATTGAAATCATTGAAGAAGATGAAGAAAGTGTGATAAGCAAGTATAATTTTGGTAAGACATAATTCGTTGTGTATTATAATGTTATGAATTATTTAAAAAAACCTAAGAAGGTTACTTCCAGGTTGTCTTTAACACTCAATGACAACATTAAATATTTTCTTTTTATTGGTTTCTCAGATTTTGAAATTGATACATATTTAGAAACATATTCTGCCATAAATGTAATAAACTATTGTGATGGCATTTGTCTCTTTAAAGTTTAAAGACAGCAAAAAATAAATTTAATATTTAATTTATTGTTGAGCTGTAGCCTATAAATGTTGTTTCACAGGAACAGATAATACTGATGGCAATTATTCTGGCATTTCAAAGACAAATTCAGGTAATTCCTTTGTTACATTTAAATGCTTTTAGTAACATTATAGTAATACGAGCCGGCCCGCGGCATAACATACGCCGCTATTTAGTTGTTTCTAATTTTCAATCATTCATAATTTGTGAATTCGACAGTACCAACGCTGACACTGAAAATATTTCTTTAAAACACTATAAGTAGCTCGTTAAGGACCATAACCCCCCCCCCCCCTTCCTTCCCTCCCCCCCTCCTCCCCCCCCCCTACGTTTAAAATCGTTGGCTCTGCTTGTAAACATTTAGAGTGAACACAGCTCACTAAAACCATGTAGGGGTGGGGAGGTAGGGAGAGCGTTTGCAGCTTGTTTTCTAACAGCTCGAAGAAGAGAATTATATATATAGATTATTTTAAAATGTATTCAGTTATATTATTAGTTCAAAAAAATTTTCTTGTTTCCAGGATTAGCATCTGTTGAGGATGTTAAAAACAATGTAACAAATATAAATTACAAACTCAAGATCCAATCTGTTTATCCACAATTACTGGACCAGTTGGACTCAGAAGTACTCACTCCCTATTTTATTCAGCACAACTTGCTCAATTTAGATGAAATAGAAGAAATAACATGTTTACCAACAAGAAAGAAGAAGGCAGAAAAATTATTATTCACAATTTTAAAAAAGGACAAACCAAAATTGTATGAAATATTTTTAATGGCCCTGAGTAAAACTGGATATGAACACATTGTCAAACTAATTTTGGAAGCTGATGTTGTTGCCAATGATGCTGAGCATACACAATTATGTAAGTTTATCCACATTTGTTCGTCATGCCTAAAGTTTTTTTAGAATTATGTCTTTGGGTAGTATTGCCGATTTGAAAAAAAAATACACTTGCAAATAATAAAATATTCACCAACGCATTTAAACATATACTGACAAACATAAATATGTATATTTATATGAATATATATATATACGAATATATATATATATATATATGTATATATATATATATATATATATATATATATATATATATATATATATATATATATATATATATATATATTGTGTGTGTGTAAATATAAGCAAATATTGGCAAAATTTTGCTAGTATGTACATATATGAAGGATGGATAAGACAAATGGTAGAGCATTTGGCTGCTAGCCCAAAGGTCCAATATCATCTTTTCCCGTTCGTGCACAAGGCACATGGGGCAGATGTAGAAGAGTTCATCTGACCTCTGCATCTGGAACCAATTTGCTTTACTGACTTGAACAGGGTTTCGAACTTGAGACTTTCGGGTTAGCAGTCTCACTCTCTACTGCAAGGCCATGCAGTCCCAAAAAGGTCTAATGTATTATTTATATATTATTATTGTGCAAATTACAAGTATATGTATTCAACTATTTGCAGCTTATTAATATATTTTAGCTGTTATTTGCACATAGATGCATGGATTGAGCAGTTACCTCAAGAGTTGTCACACAAGAGACCAGACGAGGCTGAAACAAGCAGACTAGGGACTGCAATAGGCAACAACTGGCAGGGTCTGATGCTTGTGTTGGGGTTTAACACAGTGGAGATAGAAACTACCACAGAGAGCTGTAAGGACATCTTACGTACAAAGTGTGAACTGATCTTAAGATGGCGGCAGAGAAAGCAGAGCTCAGCTACTTACTGCAACTTTTTAGCTGCACTTGTGAAAGCGGAAGAGGAACACTCTACAACTATTGATTGGGAAAGAGTTAAAAAATTTGTTTGTGAAAAATAGTTTTTATCAATTTTTAGCATATAGTATAAATGATATAGTATAATTGATTAAAACATCATATTATATATAGACCTACTGTTGACTATTGGGTATGTATAAATGCAAGCATTCTTTTTATTTTTATGTATTTTTCTGAAATGTGTATATACATTAAACTTTAATTTATTTTTATAATATCTAAAATTACCATTTCCCCCGGTTTTTTGCATTACTTATGTAATTTTCTTATGTTAAGAGCTTATATGCTTAACATATTGTACAATAACCTATGTTGGAATAAATTGAAATATTTTGTTTTGCTTGACTATTTTTTTGACTTAACTAACTTTAAAAATAAAACTCAATTTTATTTTCTAAAATTAAGGATACATTGATTGCAAAATTGAGGATTATACTACATAAGGTACATTAAAAATGTTGAAAAATATTCTATTAGGAAGAAAATTAAAATACACATAACAGTGGCAAATAAAAGAGAGGCTGCAGCTTTCATAAGATCTAAACTGTTAATCCTATACATATTTTGACTCCAATTTAATGTTAAAAAAAAGATATAAGATCTTCTTATATGCCCATGACAAAAAATTGCATATTATCATTACTTCAACAATAAAAAATTTTAAAAGATATTTAGATTCAAAGTGGGGAAGACATTATTTCATTCTGTGCATACAAAAATTAAATGGAGTAAGTTTGATAAACCAGCTTAATGAAAACAAGTAAACCAATCTTCCTGTAGTGACATTATACTATGTTACATGAACTATTTTAGTAGTAAATAGTTGTTAAAATTATAGCAAGTTCAAGATGTTTAACCTTTAGGTGGGCTTTATCCATGTGGTTGGTTGTGTCAGGACTTGTTTGTGATTAAAGCATCACTTTATTAAGAGGTGCTGTTAAAATGTTACCGTGTTAGATAATGTGAAAAGCAAATATATATATATATATATATATATATATATATATATATATATATATATATATATATATATATATATTTATTTATTTATTTATACAGTTGCTTATCACTTTTTTCACCCAACCTGATAAACCACGAAACATCCTATCATAGCATTTCTGTCAAATTTGATAGTTCTATCACACCCTTTTCAACCCTGCCTCCCTCAACCGATCCTAATGTGTCTAAAAACTAATCAGTCACCTCACGACCCTACACCCAGCCACCTTCTTCTTTGAGAAACTCAGGTAATCATTTGCCCACCCCTATGATATTTTCATGAATACTTTCTTAGGATATTATGGATCAAAATATGATGTCATTATCACAAGTATTTTATTCTGTTTTTTGTTTTGAAATTTCACTTCATTCATCTATTCACAAAAGTCTTTCAGTCTCTTCAATGCTACATTTTATCCCTCAACTAAATGCTAGGCTAATTAAACTAAACTTCACTGAATATAATCCAACTGCACAACTTTTTTTTTTGCTTATTATTTGTCATTGCTCTTCTCTAAACTGTTTATTTTCACCAAGCCATCTTCACTTTCAACATACATTTAAAAAAAATTCAAAGGTGGTATTTTTTTCTTCCAATCCTTTCAAAATGTTATAGAAATGAGCAAAGAAAGTTAAATCGCTTTGATGCACAACTAGTTGTTACCATTATGGGGTGTTTCTATACCAGAACCTCGGATACTTGCTGGTCAGGTTTCTCGTAATTGTATTTCATATTTTGCTCGCAATTCAAAACTTAACATTGCTTGCTTGTCCACTCATATCTCTTGTGTAGAGGTAGTACTGTATATAGGATCAGTGGCGCAGCGAGGTCGGGTGTCACCCGGTGCAGCACTTAATGGTGTCACCCCCCAAAAGGCGTAGCGACCCTTCCCCCCTCAAACTATCGATTTGCACCCCCCCTCAAGTTTTCGATTTGCACCCCCCCCCTCAAACTTTCAATTTGCACCCCCCACTCAAGTTTTTCTCTATATATTTTGCTATTTTTTGCCTTGGTGTCCGCACCCCCCCCCCTGCCCCCCACCCTCGCTACGCCCCTGTATAGGATATTAGTTATGTATTGGCCTATTTATTATTTAGATATTGCTCTACAGTTTTTCTGAATGATTAAATATATTATATGGCAACACACATTCATTCTTATAAAAATGCTTCATATGATTACAAATATAGAAGCTTGTTATCATAAACATTTTTTTTAGATTGGATATTTATGCCTTTAATTTTTGTTTAAACTTGTATCTAGCCATGGTTTTTAATGTTCATTTGGCACTGTCCTAGTTTTTATAAATCTAAAAAATACATATAAAAATGGGAATTTCCATTTATACTTGCTACAGGAAGTGCTTTGAAACTAGGCTATGGTGCTTTAGCAAGCTTTTTCTTTCATTTTAGCTATCATTTTCTATGTATAGAAGGCAGTTTTTATAAAATATTAAGGATTTGAATTTTGTTTTATATGTAAATAAAAAGTGTTTTAATTATTAAAAATGTCAGTTTAACCATAAATCTCTGGGTACCATACCAAAGTTGCGCAATGCATTTATAAATAAAATATAGACAATAGACCCTATAGTATATAGATCTAGTATATACTACATAATATATATAAATATAGCCCTTTTATACTAATAAAAAGTAAATGGCATCCTCTGGCTCATATGATGGGATGTTTATTGGAGGTAAGCAATATCGTATAACTGTTACTTAAATTATTTTCTTATACTAGTAATAATATAATCAAAGTTCATGTAAATGCCAATGAACTTTAGCAGCCATTAAGAATTTTCTAGGAAAAGTGAACATATAGTGACATTTACTTTAAAATTATATAAAGGATATATAGCCAAAAAGTCATGATATATATATATATATATATATATATATATGTATGTATGTATGTACATACAGATGGTGAACAGAATGTGGTGAACTGGAAATTAGGTACAAAGATAGCATCAGGTAGACATGGCACTGTTTCCCATATGAAAAATCTTAAAGACCAACAGTTAAGAAAGTATGTAGTCAAGCAATCCATTATATCAGATGACATCAACAGAGCGTCTCTGGTGAGAAGTTTTTCATGATTTTCTTACACACACTTTGTGTATGTTTATATGTGTGTTTAGTTTGTATTTATTTTCTTACTACTCTGATGTGGTTAGAAAGGTTGATCAAATGCTTTTTACACACAAGTATCATGATTGAGGTTTGTTGTTTTTTGTATTTCTAATTTTGACAAGCACAAGACTAGATATTTTATATGGTTGATGTTTTTAAAAACACTTCTGTTATAAAATATTTGCACATATCTAGATTTATTTGTTCATAGACAAATTCTAAAATTAATTTAAAAAAAAAACAACAACAGTTAATTAACCTTTAGATTTTTTTGAAAACATGTAATAAGATTGCATACTTTTGTACAAAATATTTTTTCCCCCAGGAATCAATAGACATAGAAATACGAGCTCTCAAACATGTGGATCACTACAGAATTATCAAATATTTTGGCTACAGCAGGACGGAGAGAGTTTTCTCCTTGTTCATTGAGTTTATGGAGAGGGTAATACTTAAATAATATACACAGATATTCATTTAATGTAGATTGTATCACACAATTTACAGAACTGAATGCTAAAACCAAATTTTAATTTGTTCCATTATAATCTTTAAGTGATGGATAATTCAAAGAAGAAAAAAAAGGTCGGTTTCTAAGTAACTACTGAGCTGCCATTTTTATTCGTTTTCACCAAAAATAAATGTATGAAAATAACTAGCAGTTTGGTGAAGCCCAATATTATTTAAATATAACCAATTACCAAAGATAAGCTTTCTTTGTATGTATATGTGTAGACTCTATACACACACACATATATATATACATATATAAAATTGTATATGTGTGTGCATTATAAGTTGTACATAATTATGTGTATTGAATAAAATGCACCCTATGAAAATACTTATTTTAGTTAGAGTAATAGCTTTCAATTCTGAATCAACATAAATAAAAACTTTTTATATTTATATCACCAGGGCTCCCTAGCAAAGTATATAAATTCTCAGTTACATGGTAGGCTTACTGAAGAAAAAGCTGCAATGTTTACCTACCAAATCCTTGAAGGCCTTGTATTTCTACATGAATTAAAAATAATACACAGAGACATAAAAGGTGCCTTTAAATTTTAAGAAATTTACATCTTAGTAGCCCTTTCTTCTTCTTCTTAATTTTAGTGCTGAAAGGGATTCCCTCCAACACAATTAAGTATATGTGTCAACTGGTAATGTGCCATTAAGGCCATTAACTCTGATTTTAGCCTGCTTTTCATCTTTGGATTTGCTTTCATAGCCTTTGTTCAACCAAGAACAAACTACAAGGCAGCGGTTGTTTCATTTTGGAGTTGTCTCTCCTAGAGGAGTGGCAGCCCTCAGCTAACAAGTCTCATCTGCCTGAGGGTTCGAACTCGAGACTTTTCAGTTTAGCAACCATGAGGTTTACAGACTCAACCACGCCGACCCCCAGTAGTCCTTTCAAATTTAGTGCTTTTGCTTACATTCTCTCAATGATCATTCACTTCATTTTAGCTTCTTTCAAAAATGCTTCGTTTCTTCTAAATCTAGAATTTTACTTTTTTATATGGTAAAATATAGTTTAAATTAACAATAACTATCAACCAAAACTTGATTCTATAATAACAGCATTGTGTGAGATTTCAAGAATGTAAAAATGTTATATTTTTTTTCAAACAGCTTTTAATTGTTGAAAATGTGCTTGATATTTACTTTTTTAATAACACATGAAATCATGTTTTGTGTATGAAAACAGGTTCAAATATTTTGATGCAAGATGAGAACAATATAAAAATATCAGACTTTGGAGTGGCCAAAATTCTAAACACATTATCGCAAGCCAACACACAAGGGAAAGGAACTATAAGCTGGATGGCACCAGAGATGTTTAAGGAAGGAACACATAAAAAATCAGTTGATATATGGTAATTTTTTTTCAACATTACCTTAAATGTACTAGATCAGTTAGTTCATAAGGGATTGGCATTATTGGGCTAGTAAAGCTCTTGGCTGATAAACCTAAAACTCCCAAAGTTTGAACCCCAGTGAGATAAAATTCTATAGCTGGTGACAGCAACCCATCTAGGAGAGACAACTCCTAAATCAAACAACTGCTGTATAGTTTGTCCTTTGATGGACAAAGGCCATGGAAGCAAATCCAAAACACACAAGCAAAATTGGAGCCCACAGGCTATATGGCAAATAACATGTTTACACCTAATACTTAAATTTGTTACAACAAATCTTGTCCATCATTTCCATTAAAAGAGAAGAAAAAAAAGTCCATGAACAGACAAAGTAGATTTCACCTGTTTCTCTAACCTAGAAGAGGTATTATGGTTAGCTCTATCCACAGCAGCCTTTACTCTCCTTTAAGTGAGTACCCAATAGCTGAGCAGCCTTTACCCTCCATTATTTAAATAAAGTACCCATTAGCGCTGGGTGGTACCGGTACTATCATTCAAACAAACTAAATCATGATTTTAATATATTGTTAAAGTTCAAACGTCAGTAATGAAAAAAATATTTTTATTAACAGGAGCCTGGGATGCACTGTTTATCAGATGGTTACTGGAAAAATTCCTTTTGAAGGTTTATCTATCTTTCAAATTTCACAAAGAGTCTCTAAAAATGAACATGAGTTGCCAATGCTGGAAAAATGCTCAGATATTCTCAAAGACTTCTTGTCTCAAGTTTGTAGGAAAGAACCCAGTGAGAGGCCATCTGCAGAGGATCTTCTGAAGCATGAATTTGTTAAAGGTAGTTTTTGTCTGTGGAATTCATTCCATGTTATTTTTGTTACTAGTGACTCTATACTAACGCTGTATCTAACATCAACTGTGATGCATTAATGGCAATAAAATTCAACTCAATAAAATGATGCTATATTTTTATAAAAACAGGTAATTTAAAAGGGTTTAGCAAATAACTCTTGTGTACAATGCAAATTTTGTTATTATATTAACATTAATTTAAATATATTAAAATGACGTTTTATCAATATTTTATTCTAAGGTAATTATTTTGAATATATTAATGACAAATTTTATGTAATTCTATTTAAAGATGTTGATTGATAATGCAATTGCTAATTTTGTTACAATAGTCTGATATAAATTTTGAAAATGCCTCCAATATCAACATAGGCCAGGCAATTAATTTTACTAGTATAAAATAAATCTTTTTTAACAGGGTTCTCCGAAATCAAAAGAGAAAACTCTCAAAGTTTTGATGATAAAGATGGTGTTGATAATCTTGAAATGGGAGTCAATGATTTAGCAGGTAAATCAATCTGTCCTTATATATTGTTTAAATATGAACAACAAAAACATTTAATCAATACATGGTAAATTGATGTGATGTGACACAAAAAAACTTCCATTAAATTGATAAATGGCTGAAAATATATTATAAAGTGATTATACATTTAAGAATGGGACAACATGGTCAAACAATGGAGAGTTTGACTGCTAACAAAGAAAATCTTGAGTTTTGATCCTGGGCTCGAGTCCAAAGGACGTACAATGTCCCTGAGTCAACTTAGCTTCAATAGGTACCTGGCTCATGTTAGGTAAAGTAAAGATGGTTGGGCATACTGCTTACCACACTATCCCTTAACTTGCTGAGGTCACAGAAACAGGTGATCTCTTCTTCACATACAACATGGACCCTTAGATTTGAAAAGGTATTTTTACTTTCATACAAAAAAGAGTTGATTTAGCTTAATATGATACTTTTTATATTGCAGACTCGGCTACAGTGTCAAAGGAAGAATTGTGGATCAAACAAAACTATTCAAAGCTGCTCAAGGAAATGAAGGTTGAAGATTTCACACCTGACTTGGTTGAGAAGGGAGTCATTGATTGGGATGATGAAGAGGAGATTGATAATAAAGACTCCCGATGTAATAGAGTGAAATGTTTAATAAGAAAGCTCCTACAGTCAAGAAAAGAAGAAGCTTTAAAAATCTTTTTAGCACTTTTAGAAAGTAAATACCCTACTTTCGCGGAGAAATGTTCAAGTTTCTGATTGTCTTGAAATAATAATACTGTAATTAGGATTTAAATAAATAATACCAATTTTCTTAGGTTTAGAGAAACTTAAATTATTATTATTTAATTATTACAATTAAATTATAATACTAAGAATTACATAAATTAATGTTAGCACTATGCCCTGCAGCTGTACTTTCTGAAAACATTTTGGTCTAAAATGTATTTCACTTTATTTGGGATTCACATTTTACAACAAATAGAACATTGTATTAAAATGTGCTTAGTGTATCCAGATGGAATTATATTTATCTCCAAATATATTATTAGCAAATCTTATGCACTACTTTTCAGACAAATATTGGCTTATAAATCAGAATAGATAATAAATAATAGATGTTTGTAAGTTAAAGTGAAAAGTTAATGTATGAACCCTGATGCTGTGGTAGATGAATATGCTAAACACTATAAAAAAGGGTAAAAAGTACCATTTAATGCCACCAACCTCTTTCATTCACTAGTTTGCAGCTTTAGTCTTTTATGGACTTGAAATAATGCAGCTTAGCCTTTATTTTCTCTACCAACAAGTTCATTTAATAGTTACAATAACGGGAAAGAATAAAAATTTTCAAATTTTCTCGGCAACGCCTGATTTACTGTTATTTTTTTCCAAATAATGTTTTATACCTTTATAATTGTAGAAAACAATGCTGTGTAATTCTGAGCTCAGTGTTTCTTTCAGACATTTTCTTCCACGGGGGTCTTGAAATTTTCTGGAAGGGTTGTGAGGGCAGACAATTTTAAAAGTATATATTTTCTATATAAATTCTATTTCATTTGGTGGGGCGGTAGACGTTCCTTATAAGGCGGGGGGGGGGGGGGGAAGTATAAGTAATTATAAGCAGAACAAACAGCATAAAGCATTACATTTTGTGTGAACATTTTTTTTATTATTTCAATAATTCCAGTATTAAAATATATTAGCTTAGAATGTTTTATTTTCTGTGTGCAGTGTATTCTTTTTTTAAAAATTGAGCGTAGGAAAAAGATATAATAGAAAAATAAAGATAAAATAGAAATTTATACATTAAACTAAGAGATAATTCTTTATATAAGTCCATTCCCTGTTTAAACATTAAATTTGTACAACGTTGTATTTTAAAACTAGGCTCAAATAAAAATACTTCACTAGTGAAACAATAATTTTATACACTCTAGCCAATCTTGAAAAGAAAAAAAAAATCTTATTTGAATAAAATAAAAATAAATTTGGTTTATCTTAAAAACAGGTTCTCTTTACAAATGATTCCATTTGAATATACAATAGTACAATATTAATCTGAAGGTGGGCATTTTCTGAATTGATTGTGTCATCAATTGCATTGCTTGTGATACTGTTGTCAATTCAATACAATAAGGTTATCATAATATTCGACATAGCTTCAGCAATTTGATTCATATCATGTTCAATATACAGGTTACTAGTGGTGTAACACACCTTTTTTTTTATTTTGTAACAATCTTTAAACATACTGTAACATTGAAGGGGATTTCCTCCAACACAATTAAGTATTATGTGCCAACATGTTAGGTACCATATGGCCTGTTGATGCAGATTTTAGTCTTGACATCTTTCTAGATTTGCTTTCACAGCCTTTTTTCACCCAAGAATAAACTATAAGGCAGCAGTTGTTGGATTTCAGAGTTTGCTCTGACTACTGTATGGAAACTAAAAGTTCAGTTTTATGTTTATTAGATTCCTTTATACTTCCTCATATGCAAAGAATAGACAAAGTTTTGTAATCTTGTATTTTATCAGTTAGCTAGACGACATTACATAACTTATCAACTTATTTGCTGTATTCTGACACATTTTAAAAGTATTTCCAGTGACAAAGATGTACTATGCTATATTTCTCAAAAAAAAGTAATCAATGTTTCTGCTCTATTATACTCACAGTTTGCATTAATCAAGTGCAAAATTTTATTTGGTTTAAAAAATGTATGTCTATTAGCAAATTAAAATAAGATCTTAAGATATCTTAAGTTATATTTACTGCCTATTTCTTTTGAATCATTTTCTTTACGTAAACAACTTACTGGTCTTTATGTAATTTTCAATGTGGTAAAAGGAAGAATTTTTTAGAAATTTCATCTTGGTTTTAGCCATTATGTTGGTGGGGGATTTTTTTTTTTCCCATTTAAATTAATTGACTAAGTGAATTAACAATGATCTTGAAGTAACAAAATGTCTATTTAATCAGCTTCTCTCACTTATCCCCATACATAACTGCTCATGTTGTAACTCACAATCTGCTGTCAGAGTCAACTCCTTTCTGTCTCCCTGTGTCCTTTCATTTCTCCTGCTTAGATACCGCTCTACAACACATCCGCTGATGCTTGACCAGTCATTTCCCTTGTTACGTCATACAGTCTCACTGCAGTAGACACAATATTCACGTAAGTGGCTCACATACACACTTTTCATATCACCAAACTGTCCTCATTCCTTCCATTTGGCCCGCTGCTGTAATTGATCTCCGTAAGCTCCAGTTTCAATTTGAGATGGATATTTTGTTGAACTTCATCTTGATTCTGCTAAAAAAATAAACAATGAAATAAGACTTAAACTTTTTCATTAGAAAATAGATTGTTTTAATTTTTTTTTGGATTTATTAAAATAAAATAATGATCTTTTAAATATTGAGTTACTTTAAATAAATAATTCCTAGTAGTTTTAATGTAAAATATTTTTATCTGTAGCCTTGTAGAAAAAACATCTAGAAAATCTTTCTGTGTGTCATGGCGTGGATTAGTATATGACTACACTGGTGGTAGATTATGACAAAAATGGACAGCAGCGAGAAAAGTCTCAAAGGTATTTGAGAGGTCCATAAATTAATTTTAAAATCATGCACGGAGTAGTTACAATTAATATGGTTATAAAATCCTGCCTGTCTGGTTTTTTTCAGACTTTACTAAAGATTGGATGTATTTGATGTTTTTAATATTTTCGGTAACTAAATAAAAATTTTAAAAAAAAGCAGAAACAATTGGGTTTTCACGACATAAACAATGGCATCCTGCTATTCGATAGGCCGCCATAAATTTTATTGTACAAATTGTAAGCTAAAAGAAGAAAACTAGGTCATGGCGCTTAATTTGCATTGTTATTTAAAAACTTGATCTGCAAAGTTTTGTAAATAAAATAACTATAAAGTGGGGCTGTCAGAAATTGATCTCGGAGTTCCTGTACAGCCAATCAATGTTTGTCTTACGAAAGTGAAACATCGGGTTATAACTTAGGCGTGATGAAAATAAATAGAAATGTAGCCTTAAACTCAACAAATTATTTTAAAGTTCTCTGGATCTGCAACTTGTATAGCATTGATTCTAAAAATATTAAATTTCTGAATTAATTTTAGGCTTAAGTTTTTAATAAAATTTTATCTTTTATTATTTTTACGGTCCTAAATCTAAAAAAGCACATTTTTATTCCATGTCAACAACATTACGGAAGGATTTTCGTCAACTCACTGGTGTCCATTAATAAAGACTATAAAAGCTATTTTGTATTGACAAAAGACAACATGGTTAGAGAGTATATGAGGTTTTTTTTATTTGATTGATAGAATGTGTATATGCATTAGTAGGAGACAAGACTAGAGAGACAGTAGAGGAAGAGTATAGAATTAGATGATAGTATGTGCATTTTAATGTAGCTGCAAATTACACAAGTGAATGAGTGATTTAAACAATGATTAAAATTTTGTGTTGATTATTCATCTATTCTTCTTGTTTAATTTGAGCAGAAATGAGACAGATGCAGCTGTCCTCTTCCCAAAAGTCATTATAAAATAGCTCATAGAGTTCATATAGTAATATATTCATATAGCCCCCACATTACACTATGGTATGGTTTTCAAGGAACAATTATCAATGCCATCAAAATCATATGTGAAGGGTTCCAATGGAAAGTTATATTTGGTAGCCATATCTCTGACCCATATATGACAGGAGTCAAACAAGGATGTATGCTGTCCCAGCTGCTTCTTAACTTAGTAGCTGATTGGAAGATGACACACACTACAGACAATACAAGAGGTATTAGATGGACATTAATTACTAGCTTAGAGGACCTAGATTTTGCGTACAACATAACTCCACTAGCTAGTAGTTCAAGAGACATACATGCAAGAAAAACTAAACAGGCTTATTTATTTTGCAACTAATTATAACTTTATTTTAAAAAATCAAACAAGCTTAAATATATCATTTAAAAAATCACTAAACTCTAATTTTTTTTAAAACCTAAAAATTCATGACTTTAGAAGTTATCGGAAAAAAAATTAACTAAATACAACATATTAACTAAACACCCAATTAGATAAAATATCAAACAAGCTTAAATATATCATTTTAAAAAAATCGCTTAACTCTAATTTTTTTTTAAAACCAAAAAATACATGACATTAGAGGTTATTGGGGAAAAAAAGGAACTAAATACAACATATTAACTATTAACTAAACACCCAATTAGATATGGCAATCAATTTACAAGAAATACAAAACAACTTTCAACTGCCCACACTCTATACCCTACCTGAAGGTCAGAGGGACCCATCGATTGACCTGCCATAGTACATTTCTAAATTAAATGCTTTCTGCCATACAACACCCAATTCAACAAAACAACCACTATAAGAACAAAACAATTAATTAATCTAGCCACTAACTTTTATCTTCCCGAGACTCACTGTATGCTTGTGAAACATGTGGTAAACTTGGGAAAAAATATTTAATGCAAAGGAGTGTTGAAAAAAAATTAGAAAATAAGTTTAAATATGTAACAAAGAATCCACAATTATTTACCTAAATAAATATGGGTTAATTATGCAATTTGATTATTGGTTGTATTGTCAATATTTTATTAAAAATGTATACACCGACTGATGTTTCTGAAGTCAAGTTTAGTTCAAAATGTTTAAAATAAGGGAATATACAACAATTAAATCAAACTAAACATGGGATCAATTTTTATAGTATTGTTTGCATTGTTTTCTATATGGGTCAGGTATTGTTATAAGTAGTCACACCGTTGCAGAAATTTAACCCAAATTTCTTGAACATTGTAGTGCCTACTCAAATGTGTGCACCAGAAGTTTTTTAGAACTAATAAAAGGAAAGATTTCAAAATCAAAATTTAACAAGTTATTAGTATCAAGTATAAATGGAGAATCAAAATTTACTAAAAAATATAGAACTGAGCAAGTTTGTATTATTCTTTCTGGTCTGCTTTAAATAAACACCTCTCCTAAAAGCAAAATGGTCTTATTCCTATTGTCCTCTACTGGGTGACTCTCTAACCATTCTACTGTCTTGTTGACATTAACTTTAGAATATAAACAATATTCCTTCTTCTTTTTTTAACAAATGAAATAACCCCTAAGACTGTTCATGCTGCATGTTGTGTGTTGAAGCAGGAACTTTGGTTTTTGAAATTGCAGTGCTTGGTTTATATAAAAATATATAAAGAACATTAAAAGGGATTCAAGCACAGTATCACCAAGGCTGTTACTAATTATTAGACTGCTGTCTGTGGAGGTCTAATCCCCACTAACCTTCTAATGCTACTGTCTTTATCAACTTTCATCCCATAAACATTCAAAGCTTATTGTGTTAGCTGAAGAGGATGTCTCTTGAATATTACAACATTCTCTACAGCAGTCTTGGACCTGGGTCCCTTAAAATATAGTAAAACATGATTTAGTTCACAAATTATGATGATAATGAAATGCACAAAATATTGTAGGAGTTAAAAACATTTTACTTCTTAATTACTTCTTGTAAATATATTATGTCTATGCTGAAATGCACAAAAAATAGCATTTAAAAACTTACATTTTTATTAAATGATGTAAAATATATCAGTATTACCTATCATTTCAATAATGGTCTTTTTTAGTGCATTTTTATACATGGCCCATTTTCCTATCAAAACCTTACTAACCTTTTTTTCCAAATGTCAATCTGAATTTCATTTCTTTCTGTAAGTTGACTAGGCACTTTCTAGAATCACTTGCAATTGTATCTAGCTAGGTGAACTGGATATCCCAGTTAATAAACTGAAGAAGATTGATATCAAAATTAATTCGCCAATATACCCATAACACAGATGCAGTAATTTCTTTCTCATGGAGGTATAAAATTGTTGGCAAAATTTGTTATCTTGCCACCAGGAACATGAACTGTAGAAATGGTGAGGTGTTTTAAAGCTGAACGAACACTCATGTAAGCCTACATTATATTATTATTAAAGTGGAGTCTAACATTTGTTGTTGGCAGTGTGTCATCACACTGGAACAGCATAACATTATGTTAACAGTTATCACCAGGTTCCTATGCAGCGCAAGCTATATTAGAAAACTGGGAATCTTTTTGAAAATACTTTGTAAACACTGTGACTGAAAAATGTCAATATGTAGCCAATATTTGTGAAAGACACATTGAGTACAATGGCAACAATTCTAGAATCTAACTCAGTAAGGTAACTGGACTGAATTTGACAAACACCGGGGATGCCAAAAAATGAATTCAAATTCTATTTATATAAAAAGTAATGTATGTGTGTGTGTCTGTCTTTTCTATATATATATGGTATATAAAAATAATAAAAGTGAATTGAAGTGACACCCTTCACACATTAGCCATGAAACTTTGAGAAGATGTTCAGAATATTCCTGGGGAGGTATCTGCGTAAAAAAAACATTTTCAAGGTCACAGGAGTGGCGCCCAGGCACGGCGCAATTTGTTTTCTCTCTATATACCGTATATAAAAATAAAAGTCGATTGCGGTTTCACACCATTTATCCGATCGCCATCAAACTTTGGGTAGTTAAATACAACACTTCAGGTGAGGTTTCTGTAAAACAATTTTTGTTTAATTTCATAAAGTCGCCGCCAAGGGGTGGTGGGATTTTTCTCTATATACGGTATATAAAATAAAAGACAATTGCGGTTCAACAGTTTATCCGGATGTCATAAAACTTTAGGGAGTTGATGAATACTCCCGAGAAAGTTTCTGGGGAAGGGGAATTCAGTTTAATTTTGCATGGCCATGCGTCTTAGAACATAGGATGGGTAACCCATTGATGAAACAATTCTTATATATTTCGTCAGACTTTCTTCTATCCGTGCGGCAACGCGCATAGACGGATACGCTAGTTTACAAATAAAAAAAAGAGAATAAAGCTAGATTATCTTTTTCTTAGTAGTTTGACATGCATTGGTTAATATGCAGGTCTATTTATAATGGTTTGGAAAGGGAAGGTATAGAAATTGGCCTGTAGTTATTTGGGTCTTGGATGTTAAACTTTATGTGTAGTGGTATAATCTTTGAATACATGAAATGTTTTGGATAATAGCTTGGCTATGCAGAGATTACTGGAGCTGAAATCTTCAATACTTTGTTAAATGTAATCAAATGAAGACAATGACTTTGTTTATATTATAATCAGCAACGGATATCTCAACATTATTTTTAGAAGATTATAATAGTTTTTCATAGAATCCAAGATATAGAAAGACTTTGTCGTGTTCAATAAACAAATGGAAATATTTCGATGCCATAATTTTAATTTTAGTTATTTTTTGAGAGCTTTTCAAAGATGAAAAGTGACAATGCATAATTTTTGTAAAATCCATGTTAGTAAAGCAAAAGAAATAGCAATGGATTTGAGATTATAAAACGTTAAAAACAAGATAAATTAAAACAGAATCGATATATCAGTCATACCGCTTCTAAAAATACCTTATTTGTTCTCTCTCTCTCTCTCTCTCAATCAATTAATCAATCAATCAATTTATATATATATCTCTATATATCTATATATCTATCTATATATATATATATATATCTATATATATATATATATATATATATATATGTATATGTATATATGTATATCTCTATATATCTATATATCTATATATATATATGTATATATATGAAACTATTATATACATGTACAATTGTAGCCTATAGGCCTATATAAAACGTTTTGACGTTGTAAATTGTTCGCATTTATATATAAACATACAAGGTAATCTTAAATTATGTGCTGTGATGATTAATGACATCAATTCTTACCTTAAAGTGCTTTTTTCTCTTGTGTGAATATTTATAAATTATTAATTAATTAATTAATAATAATAATAATTAATTTATCAACCTTGCATTAACTTCATTCTTAGTGACACCATACAAATGAACTACAGGCTGATGTTTCAAATCTTTACAACAATAATCCTTAAAAATTTAAACACTTAAGTTAAAAAAAACATTGTATTTGCTTATCTTTAAAATGAAATGTTAAAATAACCAATAGACCTATTAATTTCTATTACAAAAATACTAGAATGATGAGGATTATAGGCCTATCCTGTATAAGACACCTAATGACAGTGAGAACAATTTTAATGACAAATATCAAAGTCATATCTTCTGTCTCCACTGTGTGACCTGAGTGCGAAATTCATCATTTTATGTAAAGATTAAAGTTCCTTGTGAATAAGGTGGCTAATTTCCTGAATGAGACTTCTGATGTCGAGATAGAGAAGATTTCCTAGAAAACACTTTATGACAAACATCACATTCATGTGGACCGCCTGAATGAGTCTTTTTATGCTTCAATAATTCATCTTTCAGAGTATAGTTTTTATGACAAACATCACATTCATGTGGACCGCCTGAATGAGTCTTTTTATGCTTCAATAATTCATCTTTCCGAGTATACTTATTATGACAAACATCACATTCATGTAGCCTAAGCCCAGAATGAGACTTTTGATGTCGATATAAATTAGACTTATTAACAAATTTTTTATGACACACATCACATTCATAAGGTCTTAATTGTAAATGCGTATTCTTATGTTGAGATAATTGAATTTTTTGAAAAAACTCTTTATGGCACACACCACATTTATATAGCTGAAGCCGAACATGAATGGTAATATGTTTAAATAAATTAGTCTTTTTAGTAAATTTTTTATGACATAAATCACATTCATATGGTATGTGTCCTAAATGTTTATTTTTATGTACTTCTAAATAACCTTTCTGACTAAACTTTTTATGACACACTTCACATTCATATGGCCTAAGCCCAGAATGAGTCTTTTGATGTCTAGATAACTGGTACCTCTGAGCAAACATTTTATGGCACACATCACATTCATGTGGCTTTAGTCCAGAGTGAATAATTTTGTGATTAGATAAATGAGACTGCCTGACAAACTTTCTATGACACACATCACATTCATATTGTTTTTCATGAGTTTTTTTATGGTCAGATAAATAGAATTTAAGATTGAAACGTTTTTGACAAACATCACATTCATATGGCTTGAGATTAGAATGTATATTTTTATGGACAGATAACTGACTCTTCGTAGTGAACTTTTTATGACACACATCACATTCATGTTGTCTTATTTGTGCATGAATATTTTTATGTTGAGATAAAATAAATTTACGATTAAAACTTTTATGACACACATTACATTCATATGGCTTATGTTCAGAGTGAATAATTTTGTGTGTATTTAAACTAGATTTATGAGCAAACTTTTTATGACACACATCACATTCATATGGCCTAAGTCCAGAGTGAATGACTTTGTGTACTTTTAAACTAGACTTATTAGAAAACTTTTTATGACACACATCACATTCATGTGGTCTTATTTGTGCATGAATATTTTTATGTTGAGATAAAATAAATTTACGATTAAAACTTTTATGACAAACATCACATTCATATGGCTTATTTCCAGAGTGAATAATTTTGTGTGCTTTTAAAATAGATTTATGAGCAAACTTTTTATGACACACATCACATTCATGAGGCTTATGTCCCAAGTGAATAATTTTGTGTGTATATAAACTAGACTTATGAGCAAACTTTTTATGACACACATCACATTCATTGCATCTGTCTTCAGGATGTAATTTATGCAGAGAATACTTCTTATTTATTTTCTTAAGCTGTTTTACATGACTGTTCATAGCACCTTGTTGCTGATGAAAATCATACCCATATGAATTCTTTCTTGTGTGAGTTTTCAGATGTTGTGTAATATGATCAAAATGAGTAAATCTTTGACAACACATATCACACTTATATGTCTTCAGCCCCTTATCACTGAGGTCATACATTGTTGGAAAATTATCAATAACTTCTTTATGCAATTCCTTGAGTTCTTTTAAATCATGATAAAGATCTGATTTTAAAACTGTAAAATTTTCAATAAAAGCATCAGAATCTGGTAAATATTCAAGCTGTCTTGTAACATCTAAGCTATCTTCGTTTTCAACCTTAAATGATGAAAATGTTAAGATGTCCTTTTTCATAACATCACACCTTAAAAGTTCTGTTGAAACATTTTGTTTCATATCTTTAGAATAAGAAAATGTTTCATCTGATTGTTGATTTTCTGACATTGAAACTGTTTCATTTGACTTGTCTTCAAAAGGTGAAGATTGTGATGATATATTTTGATTGATAACATTTGAAGTTGAAATCAATGTTGGTAAATTTGGTTTCACATCTTCTAAAGTTAAAATTGCCAATGTTACATCTGATTTTGAATCCATAAATTGTATTGCTTGGTCATTTGATTCCTGTTTAACCACAAGTGCACTTTGTAAAGACATGGCTGATTTTCTCAGTCTGTTCTGCATACGTTTAAATAGATGGCTAAAAAAAAAAAAAGTAGATATGAACATAAATAAAATTATTTTTTAAAACATTTTTTTCCCTTAAAATATCCATTTTAATACATCAACTTTCAGTAACTCTCTTCATAAGATTTGGAAAAAAAAGTAAAGTTTCCCTTTGAAACCTGACGGTCTATGGGGTAAGTGAAGTAGAGTTCACTTGTTTCTGTTACCTCGGCATATAAAAGGAGTGTGGTCAGCACCATGCCCAGCCGCCTTTACTTTCCCTAACGTGAGTTAGGTACCCATCAGAGTTGGGTGGACTCAGAGACGGTCTACTGACTTGAACCCGGATTTTAACCTGAGACACATTGGTTAGCAGTCCAGCTCTCTACCACTAGGCAATCCCGTCCCATCGATGTGGAGAGGTCCATTAATATAGGCCTAAAAAGTTTTTGTTTTATTAAAATAACTCTAGTAATTATTTAATACTTTAACAAGAATAATATTTTTTAAGTTTCAACTTTTTAGTAACTCTCTTCATAAGTTGTGGAGAGGTCAATTACTTTGGCTTAAGACAAAATTTAGTAATTTTCCTTAAACAAATGTTGACCCTCTGTATAGTATACTTTAAAGTAAGAACTCTAAAATAAATACCGATGTATCTAGTGATCTAAGTGAAAAAATCTAATGTGCAACTTTTTTTTTTTTTAAATGCTTTTCTGGCATATATAGCCTTGCTACCTATAGCTTGTTGTTATAGTGTGAAAACCCCGCCATTTTGCTCGTGGTAAACATTTTTAAAAGTAATTCGTAGAAGGTCTCTGGAATTTGGCCGAAATTTCGTCGGAAATCATGCGTCCTGTCCAGACGCCATATTGTTGTTAGCAACCGAACATGCCTCCAACTTAGCGAGGAATACTAATATATAGGCCTATATTATAGATTCTAATTCTAGATCTTTTAGGGTAAAACTCCATTTTAGCGTATTTTATTCTCCATTGCTTGTTTACCTCCAGTTGAGCGTATTTTATTATAATAACCGAAACACACCAAAACATTAGGAAAACATGATTTATATATTATTATATTTGTATTGTATTTTGTTTTCACAAATGAATAAAAATGAATATTTAAAAAACACGACTTATTTATTTGTATTGTATTTTTGTTTTAACAAATGAATAAAAACAACAAAGAGACTGACTGAAATGCTTTGTTTGTTGGTTACAAAAATAGAGATGCACACTTTGTACAAATAAGTGTTCCAATTTCAACTCAACTGAATAGAAGTATTAAAAGGCATAAGGGGTCGTCCATAAATGACGTCACACTCGTAGGGATGAGGGGTGTCCGTAATTTTGTGACGGTGTGTGATGAGGGGAGGGGGGGGGGGTGGGGTCAGATGGTGCAACGTCACACTTTTGCATTATAAAAAAGCAATGTTAGACGTTATTTCGCATTTTAGAAATCTGTTTTAATAAATTGTAATAGGAGTTGATTGAAATAATCTATTTTGACAGAGTTCAGACAAGATTGTAGAAAAATATCGATGTTTAAAAAAAAATTCAACTGCAATTCAATTTTGAGGGGGGGGGGTGGTGGGTTGTAGGCTGAGGTGTGACGTCATTTCAGGGGGGGTCTGGGTTTTTGTGACGACTTGTGATGGAGGGGAGGGGGGAGGTAAACATCGTCAAAAAAGCGTGATGTCATTTATGGATGACCCCTAATAATGCTGCCAAAAGTGGGGAGGGGTGGAATTTGGTGAGGGATGGCTTGGAATGCTAGAGAAAGTGTGACAACTCACGTTGCCATTTTAAAAAAAATAGTGTTAGACACTAAAATTTCATACGTTATTTCGCATTTTTAAGGCTGTACAGAAATAGAATAATATAATTAATATTGTAAAAAAATGCAATCCTGATGCATGAATTTAAATAGTAAAACGAACAGCTAAATAATACAAATTTATTACAGGGGTCATCCATAAATGACGTCACGCTTTTTAAAACGATTTTTACCTCCCTCCCTCCCCTCCATCACACGTTGTAACAAAAAACCAGACCACCCCCCCCCCCCTCTAAAATGACGTCACACCTCAGCCTATAACCCCCTCAAAATTGCTGTTGAATTTTTCTTAAAACATCGCAATTTTTCCAAAATCTTGCCAGAACTCTGTCAACATAGAGTATTTTGATCAATTCCTATTACAATTTATTAAAACCGTTTTCTAAAACGCAAAATAATGGCTAAAACTCGTTTTCTAACATTGCTTTTTTATAATGCAAATAAACTGACGTCACACAATCTAGACCCCCCCCCCCCCCCTCATCACACACCGTCACAAAATTGCGGACCCCCCCCATCTCTCTCCTACGAGTGTGACGTCTTTTATGGACGACTCCACATCATTTTTTTTTAAAAGTCAGAAATTTACTCATACAAAAAATCATACTTGATATATATATCAAAATATTGGGAAGGATGGTAGATCTACTATGAATTTAAATAACATACAACTCTATAGTAAAAATATTTAACCATGAGACAATTGCCTTTTAAAAAATACAACACAGATAAACAAGTCTTTTTTTTAAAATATTCATTTTTATTCATTTGTGAAAACAAAAATACAATACAAATAAATAAATTGTGTTTTCCTAATGACTAATGTTTTGGTGTGTTTCGGTTGTTATAATAAACGAAGTGTTTACTCGGAAGAAGATTTTTCTCCCCAACGCCTCCACTTAGTCGGCAAAAGATAGCTCTGCGCATGCGCAGTGACCTATGGCTAAGGTTAGAATGAGGGTTAGGGGTTGGATTAGGGATAGGGTTAGGGATAGGATTAGGGATAGGATTAGGGATAGGGTTAAGGATAGGATTAGGGTTGGTGTTAGGGTTCTGCGGTTGTAAACACAAGCATGCGCAGTACCATCGAAAACATCGCCGCTAAGGCAAGTCGTAGTTTCTCTCCATTGCGCATGCGTATCGCATGCGTATCTTATTCCGGCTAGAATCGGCCTATAATAAAATACGCTCAACTGGAGGTAAACGACAAGCGGAGAATAAAATGGAGTTTTACCATCTTCTTGATTTAGATTTTGGATCTAGATCTAGATACTAGTTACGTTAGAATAATTGATGAGATCTAGTTCTAGTCTAGATTCTAGATCTGATCTAGATCTAGATTCTAGACTTCAACTTGAAGTAGGCTACTTGATACGCTAACTAAATAAATTTAATTTTCTACTATCTTTTGAATAAAACAGATAACTAAATAATAATTCACCATCAATGATAAAAACCAGAAGTACTGTCTTAAAAGTAAATTTTGACGTTATTTATTTGATCTAAGAATCTAGATCTAGGCTACATTCTACATTATTAACGTAATTTTAGAATCTAACTGTTGATAGCAGTTGCAGCGGTCATGTTATATTTTTACGTACTATTATCTAGAGTGGTTTCCCCTCGTTAGGGGATCTAGACCAGGGGTCGGCAACCTTTTGAGATAGAAGAGCCAAAAGTTACCATTTACAAAATTTCCCAGCCTTCAAAGAGCCACTAACATATTTATTTCAACATTATGATGTTTGATTAGGATATATATAGGGCCCTATATATATATATATCAGTAGCGTACGCAGGGGGGGAGCAGGGGGAGCGGCCGCTCCCCCTCTGGCCATTTTCAGCAAAGTGGCGCCTTTTTGGAAACTTTTTAAACTTAAAGTTTTAAATAATGATATTTGTTAAAAACATATTTTTGGTCGGCACATCTATGTAAATCACAAGATTTCTTTTCATGCAGCAATTAAGCATTATTGTACCAGTCTAGTAGTGTCTACGTTTACAACACGTATTAACAGCTGCATCAGTTTGCCCTTCTGAAAATAACCATTACGATGCATTGCAATGTTTAAAAAACCTCTACGGGTAGAACCACTTTGCAAGAGGGGTGTTAAGTTTAAGGCAACTGTATAATGTATTTGCTTAGAAATAAAATAATTGAATTAGAAAATGTTATACATAAAACTTCACACATAATTACTTTATATATACAGTTTGAATCGTGTGATTAATTTTTTAAAAATTACAATACAGAAACAAATACAACTGATGTGGCACCTCTATTTAAATTTACTTATGAGCAAACTGCGTAGTGGTGGGGAAATTTTGACAAGGTCAACAACGTCATCACGATGAAGTAGTAGTATTCTTACAGTTTGGGCGATTGTGATTACGATTACAAATTATATGAAACAGTTACAACCCCCCTCCCCATGGACCCCTCTGTAAAAAAAATATATTGTCATAATACCTCTGCTACTTATTTAAATCTCTTAGTGTAATATATATTTGTGTAATATATATGTATGTTTAGAACAGTCATCTAAAAACTGACGCTCTGAGTTGGTTATCTACCCCCCCCACACACACACACACCTTACCTCACCACCACAATTGTGTAGAGCGACATTAATGTCACACCTAGGTATACACTGGGTTGGATAATTGACCTAAAGTGACCGGACAGTGGTGAATGAAATTGAGCCCACCCTCCACCCCAATCCACCACGAACTGATCTGTTAAGTACATGTAGAAAAACGCGTAATGATGTACCAAAGTACCATGCCGCCAGAAAATTACCTTTTTAAACGTAAAACTCTGTGAATATTGTTTTTGGAATTACCAGTAAAAAGGTGTGTGATCAATACAGTGATCTAACCCATAACTATCACTATGTTAAAAAATTATCTTTAAAGAACACAAAGAAGCAGTAGTTAATTAAAAATATATGATCTGAACTAAAAAGACCGATATTCAGTTAAATGTAGGCTGTTATTCAGAATGTATTCTCTTATATCGAAAAGCGTGTTTTTATACCAAATCTGATTTTAAAAACTTTCATTATGCTGTAATACTTTAGCATTTATGATAACGATATATTTAATTCTGATTATAGACAAAACATTTTGTAGACACGAATAGTGTTAAACAATTTGATTATATTCTAAAGTAATTATTGATTTGTTTTGACATTTATAATTAAAGGTGTAGATATATACATATTTATATTAAGAGAGTGATTATTTCCCCTATTTCACTTGTCTTAAAAAAAAAAAATTTACGAATTATTATGTGAGAAATTTTTTTTAAAAGAATTACAAAACAGATTGTGTTACGTTCATTGTTTTTGGTTGTAGTGTGCGTATATTTTTTTTTGTTTAGATTGATACAATTTTTGTTTTGTCGGCCTACATTGTGTTTTTTCTTATTTCTTCAGAGTGCTACTTTCAATTTATTTTACATCATAGCGAAGTAATGACATACAGCTAGTAATTATAAATATTTATATATATATATATATATATATATATATATATATATATATATATATATATATATATATATATATATATAATACACGTATATAGAACGTGTTAAAAAATCGGCGCCTTTTTTTGCTCTTTTCGCTCCCCCTACAACGAAAACCTGGATACGCCTCTGATATATATATATATATATATATATATATATATATATATATATATATATATATATATATATATATATATATATATATATATATATATCAGTAGCGTAGCGAGGGGGGGGGGGACGGGGGGTACATATGTCCCCGGGCGCCGACCTTAGGGGGCGCCAAAATGGGTTGGAAAAATAAAAATGAAAGCTTGAAGGGGGTGCAAATCGAAAGTTTGAGGAGGGGGGGGGCCTTGCAAATCGAAATCTTGAGGGGGGGTGCAAATCGAAAGTTTGTCCCCGGGCGCCGGGAAAGGTCGCCTCTGATATATATATATATATATATATATATATATATATATATATATATATATATATATATATATATAAAGCAATGTATGTATGTGTGTCTGTCTTTTATTTATTAATACACCTTTCATCCGATCGCCATGATACTTGAGAAAGTTGTTAAGAATAACCCTGGGGTTGTATCTGCGAAAATAAAATGTCAATATTGCCGGGGTGGAGCGCCGGCAGGAAGCAATTCGATTTATAAAAATAAAAGTCGATTGCCAAATGACACTGATCAACAGATCCCCATGAAACTTTGGGTGAGTTGATTAGAATACTCCAGGAGAGGTTTCTGCAAAAAGAATAATCGTTTTTTTTATTTCGCAAGGGTGGCTTCCCTGGAGGGTGCGGTATGTAAAAAAAGTCGGATGAGGTTAAACACCGCTAATCCAAGTGCCATGACACTTTGGAGAGTTTATGAGAATACTCCCGAGAAGATTTCTGCGAAAAAATAAACCGGGAGTGATCTCCCCTAAACTTTCTCGAATATTCTTATATAAAATAACAGGGGATGGGAACTCGGGCTATAGACATGATTTTTAATCCATTTTAAATACTTAAAGTTTTAAAAATAGAATAAAATCTCGTAGACAAATTAATTGCACACCAAGTGAACGCCAAATTTAAAAAGTGCATAATAGTGCGCAATATTATTAGTACTTTAAAAATTTACATTTGTTTTTTGAGAAATCAGAAGTAGCGTAAACTACTACTTCCGGTCAACGGAAATTACTCAAAATTTAACAGAAGGTAGAGAATTAGATCTTTTACTTACATGTGAAATTTCATTTATCTATCTGAAATAGTACTCAAGTTATAGGCTTTTGAAAAATTCAAAGTAGGAAAAGTACCACTTCCGGTTATCGGAAATCGCTCAAAAGTTGATACGGATCTACGATTTTGATAAAATACTTATATGTGAAATTTCATCAACCTAGCTGTAACGGTACTCAAGTTATCGTGTTTAAACACGGACACACAGACAGACAGACAGACAGACATACGGACAAGATTGCAAAATTATGTTTTTCCGTAGCAGCGAGGTGTAAAACGTCGAGATTTGTAAAAATCTCAATTTTTTTTTGCACGATTACAAGACTTTCTCTATACTTCGTATATACGAGAAAGTAAAAATGTCTTATGGGCAGCGCCCAGGAGGGTTCGATTTTCGTCAATACACGGTTTGGCGCTCAGAGTTCCAGAGCGGCTGTGTTAGCACTTGGCATCCGCGATATTCTTTGGATATAATGGGTTGCTATAGTCGCTCACAAATCGAATCAGGCGCGTCCACCGGCGTCCCCGCAGGGTTCGATTAGGCGCCCCGAGGGTGTTTCTGCGAGCACTACGCGCCTACATTAGTTCTAAGGAGCGCCATTCAATATTGTTAATTCGGAACACGACATTCGATGATTAAACCGAGCTAGGGGCTGTACGCGACGGCCCCGCGACAGTATAATCGGTTTCAAAAGAGCGCCATTTTTCGTCCCCAACACTTTGGTGATTAACGATGATATTAAATTGAGTGATAAAGTAACACTCAAGGCTTTCATACAGTGCACCCCATGGCGGTAGTGTAGGTAAACCCGTGCCCCGATAAATATGATCCAAGCACATGCATTGTTTGCATTTAAAATAACTCTGTTTTAGAAAACAAGGAAGTACATCAAAATTGGGTGTTACTAAATATTATAATAGAATAGAGAGTGTTTATTGTTTATATTTATTATTATATCGTTCATTATCGAGTGTTGCAGACTAAACATTTTATGAGTTTCAAGAATAAATTAAAATAGTTATTATGATTTGTGCATGGAGCTGAAGAGCCGTACCTTGACATCATAAGAGCCGCATGCGGTTCGCGAGCCGCAGGTTGCCGACCCCTGATCTAGATCTATCGGTTCCCAGAAAGAAGCGCAACGGGAAAAAGCGCAAAACATAAAGCACAACGGAAAAAAGCACAAACAGAAAATATAGTAAAACATGATTTAGTTCACAAATTATGATGATAATGAAATGCACAAAATATTGTAGGAGTTAAAAAAGATTTTACTTCTTAATTACAACTTGTAAATATATTATGTCTATGCTGAAATGCACAAAAAATAGCATTTAAAAACTTTCATTTTTATTTAATGATGTAAAATATATCAGTATTGCCTATCATTTCAATCATGGTCTTTTTTAGTGCATTTTTTACATGGCCCATTTTCCTATCAAAACCTTACTAACCTTCTTTTCCAAATGTCAATCTGAATTTCATTTCTTTCTGTAAGTTGACTAGGCACTTTCTAGAATCACTTGCAATTGTATCTAGCTAGATGAACTGGATATACCAGTTAATTAACTGAAGGTTGATATTAAGATTAATTCTCCAATCCTAATATAAAAGACCATGTGCGCTCTTCTCTCTCTCTGTCCGCAAAATATTTTCGCCGGAAATCACGTCAGAATCGGCAGCGATATATGGATACCTTTATACGGACTTTTGTTGAAAATAATATGGTAGATGTTTTAAATGTATAACCACAATTTTATTTAAAGAAGAAAAAAAAAAAAGGCGTATTCGAATGTAGAGAA